ATAAAAACTAAACAAAACCCATATATCCAACCAGAGGTATTTTGACAAAAGTACACTAATTCTGAAAAGACTTCTCTTTGAAGGAGGAAAGCTTTAAAATTATTTTGTAATGATTTTTTCTTTAATTCTGAAGAAATTTTTTCCCTTCATATGTGGATTTCTCCCACCTGACCATTTGGAGGCAGGTCAATAAGGCTGCTGCAGACTAGGAAATAAGCTGTCAATTGGTTCAATGCAGTAAAGATACTCCTGTAGTAGAAAAAGTTGCCAATTCACTCCTTTCCAATGTTCTTCTGTTAATGGATGAAAAAAAAATTAAATTATTCACGTATGACTGTAGTTTCCATTCAACCTCCAGCCTTTCTTCACCTGAACAAGTATTGGGCTCTTAATGACATGATTGCTGTTACTTTGGGTGCCACGCTTCCTGGAGCTTCTTGATGGTGTAATCTCAAGTCTTCCAGAAGACCTTTTTTTCTTTCTCCAGCCCTTAGCCAGGGTGATTTGCTAGAAGGCTGAGGTTTATCTCCCTTATCTATGACATTTCCACTGTGCATGAAGACAACACACAGTACCTGTTACATGGAAGGATTTTTCAGAGAGATTCTGTGCTTAAATGCAACTGAAATGCCATTTGTGAGAAAGTTCGTAGTTCAACCATTCCTCTCTGCAGTGAAAATCCAACATACCTAAAATTCACCAGAATTTGAAGTATTAAAAAATAAATACACATTTCCTTATTTAGAAACATACCTGAGGACAAAATAAAACTGTCTGTTCCATGTGCAGCACAACTAATGGAATGTGGCATTGTTCACTTTTTCGCTTGCCCCTCACTTTCTTAACACTGTATCAAATCTGCAGCTCTACAGTAGCTTCCCAGTAAGAAGTTGTTCAGTGTTGTAACAGTTCTGCCTACTGATGGAACATGGGAAGAGCTACTTCGATTCTCCCTCCACAGCTACTGATCTTCACACAGATACCAAACTGAAATGTCAGCCACATTTGACAGGAGGGTAAAAATGGACCAGCATTTTTTTTTTTTTAAATGTATGTCCCATCGTCCTGATTACTTTTCAAAGTCAAATAAGATTGTCAAAGATAATAAAATTAGTCTTTATTAAAAGGAAGATACTAAGTTAAACTGGGTTGTACTGAGTTCTTGTTTTATTCAATGCTGTATGTTGCACTGGTTTGCCTTGCGACTTGTTTACAAAAAACATCTCATCATGAAAATCAGAAGTGTGAAACAAGTTGTACATGGCCAAGATGGTTTTAGTACCTTGGCAG